AAAAAAAAAAAAAAAAAAATGTCCTCCAACTTTTCACCTCATGTCAAATGTACCCTAATAGCGTTCTTCATGCTAATAATATCATCAACAACAATGGCTTATCCAAGTTTTTTTCCACCTTATTACAGCGATCCTTCGTCTCCCGATTATTCGAATACCAATCCATCCTCTCCTTATTACAGCGTTCCTTCTTCTCCCGATTCTAATACCAATCCATCCTCTCCTTATTACAGCATTCCTTCTTCTCCCGATTCGAATACCAATCCATCCTCTCCTTACTATAACAATAATCCGACCCCTCCGGATTATGGTTTTCCTTATCCATCCACTCCCAACTACTATACTCCACCTTCTCCTGATTCTAGCAGCTCTCCCCCTTCGCCTTCTAGCTACAATAATCCCCCGGGCCCGTCTAGAGGCTCAGGCTCCTCGTCAGAGCAGGAATTCTTAGACGCGCACAACACAGTTCGGTCGGGTCTCCACTTGGGGTCTCTCACTTGGGACCACAAACTTGCTTCGTACGCGTCCGACTACGCGGCCAAGCGCGTGACCGCCGGCTGCGGGTTGGTGCACTCGGGCGGGCCCTACGGGGAGAACCTGGCGGAGGGCACGGACCTCACGGCCTCGGGTGCCGTGCAAATGTGGGTGGATGAGAAACAGTACTACAACCACGACACCAACACTTGTGCTGATGGACAAGTATGCGGCCACTACACGCAGGTCGTCTGGAAGGATACTAACCGTGTGGGGTGCGCAATGGACAAGTGCAGCGACGGGAGCAGTATCTTTGTAATATGTAGCTACGATCCACGGGGGAATTACGTCGGCCAATCTCCTTATTAGGCCATTGGTGTTTTAATATCTATATTTATTTAGGTCTGTCTCATGTGTCTCTTATGAACGTACGTAGTATGGCTGATTTTCTGTCTTCCTTTCTAATTTGCACACACCCAAATGACCATGTATTCGCAAGCTTTGGTCGACCTATATATCTTGGTGAATTTAATTTGGGGTGTAATAATAAGAGACATGCATTTTCGTATTCAACAATATATGGTTTCTTGGTCAGAGTGTTTGGACATGATTCTTAATTCAAAACATGTGTCTTTGAAAATATTACTTCAATTATAGGAAAAATTGCTAAGGTCCCGTTACATGACGGTACAATCAACGTTTTCCATTGTTGGATAAGAAAAGTAGGTTATGTTGTGTGGATACGAAACTTTGGCAGTTCCCTCAATTATATAGGCTTCATAATTATTATTATTATTATTATTATTTTTTTTTTCACACAACAAATTACCCCACTAATCAACAAAGACCAATAAACTGAAAATTGTGACGATCACCAGTTGGATTAGAAAATTTAATCCGTCACCGGAAAATTAAAAAAAAAAAAAATGTCCAAGTAAATAAGATAAAAATTAAAAAAAAAAAATTAATCATTAATTAGTACCAAAAGCTTCATCAATCATCAGAGCTGCCCGAAGCCGCCGCCGCCGTTTGGTAGACCGACAAAGCTCTCGTAATTATCGAAAACACCGGCGCCCATTTGGTTATTATTAACAAGCATCATGTGGTCGACCTCCGGCGGCAATAGGGATGTGGAGCTCTGCATCACCATGAAATCATTCGCCTTCATCGTCACGTTTTTTATGAGTTCGTCGAGGGCCGCCGCGTACCGCTCGAGCTCCTCCAGATCCAGCCCTTCCACCGCCTCGTTCCACCACATGACGCCGTCACCTCCTCTTCCTCCGCCGCCACGTGCCGTCTCCCCCCGCCGCTTCTCCGCATCCAGCTCCCGGCACACGCCCGCGTAGTGCCGGTTGTAGTCTCCGGCCGCGTACGTCGGCGCGTGGGACTCGCCGCCATCCCCGCCGAGGAAGCGGTCGATCACGGCGTCGGCGGTGGGGTGGCCGAAGGTGAAGACGCGCTTGCCGAGAGAGTGGACGACGATTGCGATCTCGGCACCGCTGAGGATGCAGAGCTCGCTCGCCTTCTTGAAGAGGCCGACGCGCCGCTTCGAGAAGGTGACCTGGCGGTTGCTAGGGTTTGCTATCTTTTTTATCTCGATCTTTTTGCGGCCCTGACTCGTTTTCTTCGTCCTTTTCTGCTGTTGCTGCTGCTGGTCGTCGTCTTCTTCCATCATCGTCCTTTTCATTTCTTCTTCATTATCCATTTTTTTATATATATATATTTGCAGAAAGAGAAAAAAAATAAAAGAAAAAAAAAATAATGGAAGATTGGGCTTTAAATAATAAACTGCTTCGGCATCTGAATGATTTCGAGTAGGATTTTATTACTATAAGATGGTGTGATAAATTATGTCATGATATCGAGTACATATTTATTTCCATAAAGGATATGTAGTTAATTGATTCATACATGGTAGTGAATCATTTAATATATCTTGCCTATTATTGCAATAAAAAGGTGATAGTATTGGGATTATATTTGGGAGGAGATTTTACGGTTTCGTTATAGTACTGTTCTGTCGGGTTTGTAACAGTTAGATCAACTATTCACGACGGTTATATGATGATCTAACGGTTACAAATCCTGACGGAATGGTACCGTGACAGGACTGTAACATTTTTTTATAATTGGTAACTAGTATTTGCAATAAAAAAAGTGAAATATTGGGATTATAATTTGCAACTAATTAATCAGAAAAAGTATATTTAATCATAAAATAAAATAACTAATTTTAATTAAAAAATACTTGTTTAATTAATTAAAAAATAAATAATAATTTAAATAAGTAGTTCGAAAAAAAAGTATTAAATAAATAGAATATCATTAAATATGAGTTTATGATTAGTTAGTAATGGCTATTATGAAGTAAATACATAAAAATATAATTACTTTATTAATACAAAATAAGTTATTAAAGTGTCAATCGATTACTTATTCTCATTCTAATTTTGCCAAATAAATAATATTGCATTAAAATATGTGTAACAGTTTTGTTGGACAATGTGAATTTCTACAAAAGAAAAAAAAAGTTGATTTGATAATTGTTATGGAATAATTTATATTACACATATAGTTGATTAAGACTTTTTTTTTGTGTAATAATATATTATGTTTGTTAATTATATATGTTTTTTGTTACGATTCATATGTGCACATTTTTCATTGAAAGAGATAAATGAAGATTTATTTGTCATTTAATTGAGTTTGTATTTTGTGTGAATGTAATATTAATGTATAATTTCTTTACACATTTTCATAAAATAAAAGAAAATTTAGAAAGTAACAGATTAATTTTTTATTAAATTAATTCGGTTGGATTAAATTTGCTAATGTATGATTTCAAATAAAAAATTAAAAATAAAAAAAATATATAGGTTAAGTAGGTGACAAAAATAAAAAGACTAAAATTATGTAAGAAGATTAGAAATTATATTACATATAAAAGTTGAATACTAGAGATTGTAACATTTAGATAAAAGTACAATAAAGCAAAAAAGAAAAAAATATTTTAATGATAGAATTTTGTAATGTCTTTTGAAGGAAAACTTTTATAAATTGCTTCACTAGCAATTATATATATATATATATATATAGGGATTGGTTCCAATGCATCCACATTCTTAAAGTGGGGACGTGAGGCTCATTTCTAGTCACAAGATTTGGTACATAATGTGTGGTCAAGATTTAATCTTTTCTTTTTATTATTTTTAATTATTTAAATATTATTTTGACCCATTGACTCCGGCGTTGGCCGTTGACTCCGGCGTTGACTTCCGACGAAAATTCGTCGACTTCCGGCGAAAATCCGTTGACTTCCGACGTTGACCGTTGACTTCCGACATTGACCGTTGACTTCTGGCGTTGACCGTTCACAACTAAACTTGCAACTAAATTTAAATAACCTAGCATGCTAGGTTATATAGTTGTTTGATGATGCTAGGTTAGTTCTCTGATGATGCTAGGTTACTAGTTGTTAGCTTAGTTGTATCTTGCTGCTAAGTTAGTTATATATATAATGCTGCTAGGTTTTTTTTTTTTAATAAAAAAAAACAACTCCTCGGGGGCGGGGGATTGGGCTGGATCCCCAACCTGTACATAGATCAAGACCCCAAAACGGGCCCAAATATCAAAAACCTACAGTCAACATAGTCTCACAATCAATAGAAAGACAAAAACACAAAAAGAGAAAAAGAAAGGAAAAACTACAAGGTCTGTCGTCGGGCTAACAGGTGCCCGGAATAAATGTATGATCAGAGGAGAGCAAAAACTAGTCTACTAAAATCGGAAAGATGGGTATCCAAGCTGGTCCATCTGTACCAGCGTGCGAAGATGGAGTGGAGCAGTGGTGTCGGTCTGATACGTGTGTAGGTCCAGTGTGGTGGCGCCAAGGCTGGCAAGATAGTCAGCAGGTCTGTTCCCCTCACGGAAGATGTGCGTAATCCTGTGATGGACAGACCGTAGGAGAGCTCTAATGCGCATAAGCGGTGCTGAATCTGCCACGAGCCCTGGTGGCCCGAGGTCAGGATGGTGACGACCGCCGCAGCGTCCAACTCGATCCAAATATGACTAGAGAGATGGGCAGCAAGATGAAGGCCAATCTGTAGAGCCTGAATCTCTGCATCGTAGCTCGAGGAGGCCTGAAGGGACGTGTGGAAGGCGGTGATAAGGGCACCACTATGGTCCCGGATCAAACCTCCTCCTCCGGCAACTCCGGTCTGGCGATCAAAAGAGCCATCAGTGTTCAGCTTGACCCAAGGGGGGTCGGGTCGAAGCCAAACGACAGCTCTGGGCCGAGGAGGCCGAACAGGTGCAGGGGAAGCTACCATGTAACGGTGTGGTGGCGTGCAGCCTGTCCAGTCTCTGGCAGTGAGCCTGCCCAATGATGTGAGGAGTGAAAGATGTCTTTGTACCTGCAAAACAATGTGAGAAAGCAAAAAAGTAATATCCCTATGCTTCGCACTATTCCTTTCCGTCCAGGTGAACCAAAGGATCAGACAAGGAATGAGGAAGCCCACGTGTCTAAAGTGTGTGCTCTGTGAGAAAAAACTCAGGAGCTCAAAGAAACTGTCTGTGGTGGGTAGGGGTATATGAGTCCAAGTGGCAAAATGCTCCCACACTCTCCTCACAATCTCACTCTCTAGGAAAAGGTGGGTAAAGGTCTCGGTCTCATGACGTCCGGTCTCAGAACAACACACACACCGGGAGGGGAAAGAGATCCCCCTCGCATGTAAAACAGTGTCCACGGGTATCCGGCGCAAGAGGAGGCGCCAAAGGAAAACCGAAATAGTAGGGGTGAAGAGATCGCTCCAGATGGCTCCGATGAGAAGATTAGGCCGATCTCTCAGCCTGATCTGCTCCCAAGCTGAGGTAGTAGAAAACACACCTGATGATGTAAGTCTCCACCTCATGCCATCCGAACCGCCCAGCTCTCTATCAAGCTTCCCCCTATCCCACGACCCGTCCGTTCACAGATCGCTCACAAGCAGGTAGGGGGAATGCGACACCTGCCTATCGCTAGACAACGGCCTATCACCTAACCACCACTCATCCCAAAAACTAACCTCACCCTCACCCAAAACCCAAAAGATGTGCTCCTGGGAGCGCCTACCGACCCTAGTGAGGCGCCGCCACTGTCTGCTATCATGACTAACCGCCGTCACCCAACAAGGGTGGTTGGCACGTCTAGAGCAGTACTTGCCGCAAAGGTACTGGGCCCAAAGCGACTTTCCTTCCCTGAAGCGCCACCACAACTTGTAGGAGAAGGCAGTAACTATATCCCTAAGACGGCGGATGCCAAGGCCTCCCTCAGAGAAAGGGCGACAAATAGAATCCCAACAAACCCAGTGGGTATGTCCCCCCCTCCCGGAGCCGTCCTCGTAACCCCAGAAATAACGAGCCATAATCTGGTCAATCTCGTCAAGAGTAGACCTAGGGGCATCGAGGACCATAAGTAAGTGAAGTGGAAGAGAGCTAAGAGTGCTCTTGATCAGCGCAGGCCGACCACCGAATGAAAGGTGTCTATGCGACCAACCAGAGATCCTATCGGTCATCCTCTGTCTAATGTCCACAAAGAGCGCTCTCGAGAGGTGACCCTTATATAAAGGGGCACCGAGGT